CATATGTGGGAATGTTGGTGCGTGTGTGAGAGAGTGTGTGTGTGTGTGTGTGTGTGTGTGGGGGGGGGGGGGGGGGGTGCGGTGGGGGAGGGGGGAGAGATGAGGATGGATGGGGGAGGGGGAGTCATAGCCTCAGAGAAGATAAAAGGCTTTTAGTGAAAATCTGTGCGTTTATCTCTAAAATCGGATGAATATTTTATTTTAAAATCACTATGCATTCATGTAAAAATTTGTCAGTTGAGTTGGATTAAATATTGTGTAATTTTAACATACTAGTACAAATAAGATAAGAGTATAACACACTGAAGATAAGAAGCATACATGCCATCTAATTCAGTTAAATAATCTTCTCAAGATTCTTAGAGGCAGGAGGCCGGCCCAAGATGTAGCAAGCATTTCTTTTCTAAATGGCAAAGTTATGGAGCAGAAGGATAAAAGTTGCCGCTTTATTGTTTTTAGTTATTGGAATTAGTTTATTTCCCAGCTTTTTCGGGAATTTTAGTGCACATTTGCTCCAGGATCCTCGGATAACAGTCTACATTGTAGAGAAGCTTCAGCTATGTTCCAGTCCATTGCATTAAATTAGGTTCTGAGTCTAAACACAAATACATAAATCATTTAATAAACATTAGGAGCTCTCTTTGACTTTCAGAACAGCCGCCATACATTTAATTAAATTTCCTCGCCGTGTTTTAGTGAGAATGTAAATACCGCCCCGAGTGGAAGCTAGCAGGCCAGAAAAGTAATACAGCACATTGTCTCTGCTCCAACTTGGCAGCCACCTCGCATCTCAGGCTCTCGCTGACCCTCGCTTCGTCCTCGTCTCCTGGGCCTCCACCAAGCTGCTCCTCCAACCAAGAGGACGGTACGCAAGCCATGCATGTAAATTGTGCGTCTCGTGGCAACACAATTACCTCGACCGCTGTGTTCAGCGGTAAACTGCAAGCGTTGCTCTGCCCGACAACGGTATTCATGTATTCTGTAGGAGTGGTGGTCGCGTCCTGATACCACTACGCTAATCTGCTTGGAATTCATAGGCTGATACAGAAGCTGTGAGGGAGCGAGACAGCAAGACGACTAGGTAACGAAGAGACGAGGCAGCGAGGAGACGAGGCAACGAAGAGACGAGACAACGAAAGAACGAGGCAACGAGTTAACGAAAGGACCAAACAACAAATTAACGAGGGGGTAGAGTTAACGAGAGACTGAAGCAACGAGATCGAAGAATTCACCTCACCGACACACCTCGATACACTATATCAAAAACCCCCCCTCTCACCATAGCCAAACTAGACTCTTAAACCGTGGAAAAAGAATCGATGAATATGAACTATTTTCGCTTTCTAAAATACACGTCCTTTGATGAATCATCATGCTCGACTCATATCATTTTTTAACTCCCCAGAAGCAGACGACTCACACCATTCACAAGCATATTAAACCCGCTATCCTTGTGCATTCACAGTCTCCAAATCCTTACGTAATCGCTTCCTGCTACACGAAGATGCAAAGATATTCACCTCCAATCCCTGGAATTCCACGTGTGTCTTGCAAGACCCTTATAAATTACACTTTACTGCTCACCTGTAACCAGACCCATCTGCAGAGTAGACTGTTATTATATTGTGGCGGTTGTCGGGTGGAGAGGAGAGAGAGAGAATAAAAAGAGGAGGTAAGAGGTGTTGTAGGAGAGCTGGAAGTGGGAGCGAGGAAGGTGGAGGAGAAGGGATGAGAGAGAGAGAGAGAGAGAGAGAGAGAGAGAGAGAGAGAGAGAGAGAGAGAGAGAGAGAGAGAGAGAGAGAGAGAGAGAGAGAGAGAGAGAGGGAGGAATGGTGTAATATGGTGCGGTGTTAACCCAAGTCTTGACCATCGTGTTCAGAGCGTCGGAACACCACGAGCGTACAAGGGATGTTATTAATAAAGTTTCCGGTGTTACTACTTTGTCTTGTTTAGTGGATTGCACCTCGACCCTTATCAACACCCCATCCCTCACGACCCAGCCCTCACTACCCAATCCCTCAACACTGTTAGTGAGAGTGTTTGAAAAAACTGATGCAACCAACAGTTAATGACTAAATCTTCATTATATATATATATATATATATATATATATATATATATATATATATATATATATATATATATATATATATATATAGAGGAAGGGGGTGGTAGGAGAAAAGCACACAGAAACTGTATTGGAGGGAATACACATTCCCTCCAATGCGTTATGTGTGGTTTCCTCCGAGGCTATGGGTCCCCCTTCTTCCAGCCAGAGGTGGTACTCCCTTCCCTATATATATATATATATATATATATATATATATATATATATATATATATATATATATATATATATATATATATATATTAGAAATATAGGAACGATGGTTCAGCATTGCACATCTTCACGTATTTCTCGTCATTACTAGACATCTGTCTCCTTTGTTAATTGACCAGTGCAGTATGTCCATCCTGGTGGCAGAATGGAAGCACTCTTAGGGCTCACTGGCCGGCTCAGATCCCGCTTTTGATAATATTTCTACCATTTCTACCCCAGGCGAGTATATTCAATGTGCATCTTTTTCGCCTGCGACCATCCGTCGAGAAAACATCAGGCGAGCGTGTTGGTTGTGGGTCCAACGTACAAAATAATCGTGTCTCGTTTCCAACGAGTAGAAGCCGGCTTGGATATTTACACAGCCACAATAGATGGCGCGGAAGGCACTCATGGCGCCCCTCATCCACTCCATTCACTCCCACAATGCATCGGGCAGGGAAGCTTGTTTACACGTGACGTCACAGAATTAGCTCCATTGTGGCTCTAATTACACCGTCTTTCACCGCGAGCTCTAAACCCCTTCCTGGATAGAGTGCATAATGTATAACACTCGAAAATAATGAGAGGGGAAGGTGTCAGGGGGGGAAAGGGAGGGTGTGGGTGTGTGAGAGAGTGGGAGGGATAGGAGAGGGGATATTATATATATATATATATATATATATATATATATATATATATATATATATATATATATATATATATATATATATATATATATATATATATATATATAGGTTATATATATATATATATATATATATATATATATATATATATATATATATATATATATATATGACAGGTAGATAAAAGGATGGAAGAAATAATGAGATCAATAATGTGTGATCCCTGACCATCTGGAAACTGTCCCCAGACCTCAATATCCAATAGCTGGGTCCTTAACCTATTAATCGAGTCATTTCCAGCTCGCCTGGGAGCAGGGATATGTCGGCTCCTCTGACCACTAGCATGTCTCGAACACTCGGCCTCTCCCCACGAACTTGAGTGAAGATTCAAGTGGCACAACCGTGTTATGAGATAGAGAAAACTGGCCAGCCTTCTAGCCGGTGCTAGTCAACTTTGAATGGATTGTCTTCCTCAAAGGCGACGCTCAAAGTCAAGGAAATGTGTATGTGTCCAAGCTTTCCGACTAATACTGTTGGCTGTTCGTAGCAGGAACTCACATTGACGGACTTGTCGGCAAAATGAGAAGAGGTCCAACAGTTGGCTCTTTCTCGATGAGAAAGATATACTAAAGGAAAACAACCTTAAAGATAATTGGGTTCCACAATCTGCCGGTCTCTGGATAAAACTGATTGGGATCTTCATCCATGGATTTAATACCGCCTGTGACACGTTGCAGCCACCACATCCCCCCCCAGTTAAATAAAGACTGACCAAGTTGCCCTGAAGCTGCTGAGATGCAAGTTCTTTATTCAGAGTGTAAACCTCCAACACCTTGTTTCTTGTAATGTTTGAAACCTATTAGAAGTTCATGAACTCTGAAGCCGCGACCTTTTAATATCACTCAATATTGGGGAAAAGTGATTGCCCAAAAAGTCAGGCCCAGTCTCCTTAGTGTAGACCTTACTGGTGTACCTCTCACTCCTGTAAACTTTGTCTACCTCAGGGAATTTGGATCGTCTCATGGCGCAAGGTTGGCATAGTTCCAGTCCACAGTAAGATGAGATGCTTGGTTATCAATCATTACAGAACAGTCCAGTGCCACTGTTATTAATCACTGGTGAAGCTCGTGCAATAATCTAGTAAGAAATTAAAGCATATTACGATACAACAATCCATTGTAACGTTACTCAGCCATCTTTGAGAGCCATATTCACCCACATCTAAGATGGGGAACTGCCAGGTAACATTTAAATAAGGTTAGAATGTTTAAAATTTGATGAAGTTAATTGTTAGATTTTGTCTGAATCTGAGCATTATTTTTAGGTAAACAAAAAATTAGTCGTACACGTAGTCGAGTCCCAACGTTATATCCGTCGACGACGCTGTACAGGACACGTGACTTGGTTTATCCAATAGGAAGTCTTGTGATGTCACGCGTCAGCGAGTCTGCCCGGGATTGGTCAGCCTAACTTGACATGGCTGCTTGACGTCAATGTGTGGAAGCGCGACACCTGGGCAATACATTCATTTATCAATCTTTGTCAACTTGAAGCCTTGTAATTAACACTAAACCAAACTTTCGAACAAGGACGAGCCCTATTGCGACACAAGAGAAACCCAAACTTATGCCGAACTGGTCGACAGCAAGCAGCTTCCTGTGAAAAAAAGTCCCTTGCTATGTGACTGTGGTCGATGACTATAGTTTCCTGATCATCCTGGATTTCCAAAACATGTTACCTGGAGTCTGGGGCAGCAAAGTGGATTATTCCAGATTTACTGTCATAACATCCACCCGTGGATGTAGCGGGTGGATGAAGCCATACTCGTGTATAATGCAGCAGGAGAAGCCCTCCCGTTGTTGTTAATTAACGCTTGTTATGTTCGGGGTCTAACTTACTGCGATATATGTGCGTGGTATTAGACTGACGGCAAGTTTAGGCGTGGTACTTGCCTCACGGTAACTGTGAGTATGGTACTAACCTTACTGTGGGCGTGGTACTTGCCTCACGGTAACTGTGAGTATGGTACTAACCTTACTGTGGGAGTGGGCGTGGCTGCTGCTACACAAGGAAGAACCAGAGTACCACCTTCAGGCACGGTGATGGACCGTCGTTTCTCCTGTATAACAGGGCGAGTCATCTCTCCAGATTCTGTTGACACACAATGGGAATGTGATTGAAATATATCTGTCACGGATATGGCCTATGAGGCTTGCATTCTTGCACCAGCACTATGGCATGCAACCTCTCTCGTGCCTGACACGCTGACAGCTCTCACTACTCCCTTGACAGTCAACTGATTTAGATACAACACTTTACAACACCCACACAAACATACTCTGTAATTATTGAAACAGTCAATACTGAAATACATGACCAACACTGTCACTCACCACCAACACTGTCACTCACCAACACTATAATACACAGCAGCAAGTGTATAATACACTGCAACAAGTGTATAATACACTACAGCAAGTGTATAATACACTGCAACAACAACCATCTTGGAATGTAAACATACTATATATTCATCAAAACTTAACTATTCATTCAAACTATTGATAAAGAATCTAAATGACTCAAATAATTAAACATATTGAAAAATACAACCAGATGAAAAATATAAATAAAAACCTTAATAGGTTGTGTAAAAAACGTGTAAAAGAACCACCAATAGATGAAAGTGGAAGCTGAAGACAAAGTAGTCAGAGGGATGGAAAGAAACTTATTTATATACGAATATTGGAATAAAGGAAACTGTTGGACAAAAATATTGGTCCATTTGAAGCAGTTCCTGTTTTTTTTCATAGCAAGGCCAGATATATATATATATATATATATATATATATATATATATATATATATATATATATATATATATATATATATATATATATATATATATATATGTCGTACCTAGTAGCCAGAACGCACTTCTCAGCCTACTATGCAAGGCCCGATTTGCCTAATAAGCCAAGTTTTCCTGAATTAATATATTTTCTCTATTTTTTTTCTTATGAAATGATAAAGCTACCTATTGCATTATGTATGAGGTCATGTTTTTTTATTGGATTTAAAATTAATGTAGATATATGACCGAACCTAACCAACCCTACCTAACCTATCCTTACCTATCTTTATAGGTTAGGTTAGGTTATGTAGCCGAAAAAGTTAGGTTAGGTTAGGTTAGGTAGGTTAGGTAGTCGAAAAACGATTAATTCATGAAAACTTGGCTTATTAGGCAAATCGGGCCTTGCATAGTAGGCTGAGAAGTGCGTTCTGGCTACTAGGTACGACATATATATATATATATATATATATATACCAGCACTGAACTACATAACCTAATGGGGGACATAACAAGGGAAAGCTGATGAATACCGTTATGTCTTTTGTCAAACGCTTCAAAACACGAATCTGAGAATCCTGTTTGCTTCATTTTTGTGTATTTATGACTTAATTTTTTGGGGGCTTAGTATAATTATCCAAAGAGTGCACCAAGCGTTTTGGGCTCTAAAATCCTTACTATTTATGACTCCCGGTATCCTTTATATAACACCATTGTTATCCCTTACAAACTATATGACACTATAACAGTACCGCCTAATAGTTTGAGTGGCAGAAGGAAATTGAATATAAAGAATTCGCTGTTGTCAAAATGATTACATAAAACAGCTTAATACATTCAAAGGCATCACAGAACTTGTGTAATATTGACTGTAAAGCTAAGGTCATGACCTTCCTCGTGACCTTGAACAGTGGGTGGAGAAGAGAGAGGTAAGAAGAGGGAGAGAGGAGGAGAAGAGGAAAGAGAGAGAGAGGGAAGATAATATGGCCCTCTGGGAGGACGCGAGCTGCCGCCACTCCTCACCCCCTGAATCTTGACAGGTCCTTACAAGAAGGGCCGGACAACCAGGTTGTAGTGGATATGTGGGCCTGCGGGCCGCTCCAAGCCTGTTGGACCAAGTTACCACAATTCAAACCTGGCCTCAGGCCGAGCTCGAGGGAGTAGAAGAACTCCCCAAACACACTCCAGGTACGTTCCAGCCTCAGATATGAAGAGTGGCATCCCCTCTGATAATATGATATTGGGTGTCAGAAGACAGAGTAGCGTGCCACTGCCGTCAGCGTCGTGTTGTCTGGTCGTCTCCCAGGATATCACCGCGTTTTTCACCTGGTGTCGGTGGAAGGGTGTGCGGGCGCGATGCGGTTGTCAAAGCCGAGGAAAAATTTGTGGAGCGCGATCCACACAATTGGTTGAAAGACATGATAGAGCGGATGGTAGTGACGGCTGGGATTTGGGCTGGTTTTGATGGAGAATTCCCCCAGGGACCGCGGACTACCATAGATATGCTTTACGGGATTGAGCAATAGCTCACAAGTCCCAACTTTTTCATTTCTTGGTCAGATATCACACAATGGTTTTCAATTCTCCTGTTTCTCGTTGCATTTCCTTATGAAATTATTTATTGAATTCCACCGAAGGAACTCCTCTGTATTCCATTGGTTCAGTTCCGTTCCTGCAACTCCACTTGCTCATTTAACTTCCTTGCGGATGCTTTCTGGAATCGTTAGTTTAATACTTGAAATATTTCCTTGTCAATTTGTGAGTATCGGCGCTAAAGTTGCTTCAGTGTGGGAACCTCTTCGCCCACTGTTTGGTTCTTTGTTTTCGATGCTGCAATTTTCCTACTGAGAGTCTTTCTTTCTTTTTACTCTTATATTCGCTCCTCTCTGCCTTTTTGCGTGTTCTGGTAATGTTCTCTTCTGTTCTCTCTAGATCCTCACCAAGACCTGCTGCTCTTATTTTTTGCTTCCAGTCAGCTCCTGTCTAATGGTGATATGCGTCTCACTTTTCTTGTATCTTCCGGTTATTAAGTCTTCCAGTTCTTAAGAAGATTGCCTAAGATCACCATTCCCCCCCCCCACCCCCCACTCTGTTCGCTCAAGGAATTCTGACATTTTGGCATTTCTGACATTTCCTTCCACCATATATTCAATGGTTAACACGCACAGCTCACTCATTACAGAAGACATTGTGTGTCATGTCTGGTCTAGCTCTCCTAGTAGGTTTTCTATCTTATACTCTCAAACGTGTGTGTGTGTGTGTGTGTGTGTGTGTGTGTGTGTGTGTGTGTGTGTGTGTGTGTGTGTGTGTGTGTGTGTGTGCGCGTGTGTGTGTGTGTGTGTGTACGTGTGTGTGTACGTGTGTGTGTGTGTGTGTGTACGTGTGTGTGTGTGTGTGTGTGTGTGTGTGTGTGTGTGTGTGTGTGTGTGTGTGTGTGTGTGTGTGTGTGTTCGTGTGTGTGTTCGTGTGTGTGTGTGTGTGTGTGTGTACGTGTGTGTGTGTGTGTGTGTGTGTGTGTGTGTGTGTGTGTGTGTGTGTGTGTGTGTGTGTGTGTGTGTGTGTGTGTGTGTGTGTGTTCGTGTGTGTGTGTGTGTGTGTGTGTGTGTGTGTGTGTGTGTGTGTGTGTGTGTGTGTGTGTGTGTGTGTGTGTGTACGTGTGTGTGTACGTGTGTGTGTGTGTGTGTGTGTGTACGTGTGTGTGTGTGTGTGTGTGTGTGTGTGTGTGTGTGTGTGTGTGTGTGTACGTGTGTACGCGTGTGCGTGTACTCACCTAGTTGTACTTGCGGGGCTTGAGGTCTGGCTCTTTGGTCCCGCCTCTCAACCGTCAATCAACAGATGTACAGGTTCCTAAGCCTATTGGGCTCTATCACATCTACATTTGAAATTGTGTATGGAGTCAGCCTCCACCACATCACTGCCTAATACATTCCCACCTGTTAACTACTCTGACACTGAAAAAGTTCTTTCTAATGTCTCTGTGGCTCATGTGGGTTCTCAATTTCCACCTGTGTCCCCCTTGTTCGCGTGCCACCCGCATTAAACACTTTACCCTTATCTACCCTGTCAATTCCTCTAAGAATTTTGTAAGTAGTAATCATGTCTCCTCTTACTCTTTTGTCTTCCAGTGTCGTGAGGTGCATTTCACGCAGCCTTTCCTCATAACTCATGCCTTAGTTCTGGAACTAGCCTAATGGCATACCTCTGGACTTTTTCCAGCTTCGTCTTGTGTTTGACGAGGTACGGACTTCATGCTGGGGCCGCATACTCCAGGACTGGTCTTACATATGTGTGTGCGCGCGTGCGTGCGTGCCCTAGAGCAGGTGTACTGTGCATATCAGGCATAATGAGTCAAGATTACATCACTACCCAACAACCCGCTCCTCATGCTATCCCATTTCCTGTCTTCCTTACTCTTAATTTCTCTCCATTTTGTTTTATCATGTCCTTCCCTCTCTCTCTCCGTCCCTCTCTTCCCTCCCTCTCTCTCTCCGTCCCTCTCTTCCCTCCCTCTCTCTCTCCGTCCCTCTCTTCCCTCCCTCTCTCTCTCCGTCCCTCTCTTCCCTCCCTCTCTCTCCGTCCCTCTCTTCCCTCCCTCTCTCTCTCCGTCCCTCTCTTCCCTCCCTCTTTCTCTCCGTCCCTCTCTTCCCTCTTTTTTTTAATCTCGGTATTTCTCCCTTTCTCTTCAATCGAAGAGGGGAGCTAACGAAAGTTATTCATAGTACTCTCAAGTCCTTCTCTTCACTATTCCTGAAGTGTAGAGACGTTTTTCAACAACGTTATACATTCGCCAACTCACTTTACAAGTGACGCCACGAATTGTTAAATGGCATAATTTATAACAGCATGAATTTGTATAAAGATTTTATCAGTGGAAAACGCGCACTATTTTTGTTTACATTGGTCAGTGGGTATTCTTGTGGTTTTGATGACCAGTTTACAGCCACCAGCCAGAGTTAGTAACAAGGGGCCAGATTCACGAAGCAATTACGCAAGTACTTACGAACGTGTACATCTTTCCTCAGTCTTTGGGAGCTTTGGTTACATTTATTAAACAGTTTACAAGCATGAAAACTTCCCAATCAACTGTTGTTATTGTTATAAACAGTCTCTTGGTGCTTCCGAGCTCATTAACTGTTTAATAATTGTAAACAAAGCCGCCAAAGATTGAGACAAGATGTATAGGTTCGTAAGTGCTTGCGCAAACTGCTTCGTGAATCTAGCCCAAGGGGTCGAGACATGTATTCTCCTGGACAATATTTATATAACTTATCCTAGACGTCAGACTTTCGATAACAGTTTG